GCCTTTTGCCAGGGACTAATGATCACTGTGGACATACTAAGACAGAGTAATCCATCTAAATGAGCTCACCTTGGCAATTTTATGGTGGGTGGAACATTATTTGGTTTTCCAACTTTCCCCCTTGGCTTCATTTCAATCTTACAGGCGTGTCATCAAGTGAGAATGCTTCAGTGTCTTCTCGCCAACCCAAGAGTGAGCGGCCAGACCAAGCAAGACAGTGTTCAATTACTTTCCCCACTGAGGTCTATACACCTTTCTTACACTTTTCCCATATGACACTTTCATAACCATACTTAGCTTTCTTCCTACCATCTCCCTGTAATTCAAAAGGCAATTTAAACTCCCATATGGTTGCCATCGAAGTTAACAGATGTCTAGCAAATTAAAACAAAAATTATGACTTATAAACTGCTGATGTATCATCATTCCAGAACATCTTACAACTTACAGTGAATCATAGTATAAGGCTTCCTACTTGATGTCCCCCCAAGGTTCCTTAAATCTCTCTCCTCTCTGAATTTAAGCCCTGTGGAAACAAATTAGATGCAACATTCTGCCATCCACCCTGGATAAACCTCCACTTAAAGATACATGTAATATTTGAAAGCACATCAAAGAGAAATTTGGCCTCAAGTATCCAAGGCTTTCTAATCCCCATAAAGCAAAGAGAAGAGAAAAATGACTTGGTTCTCCCAAGCCATTCAAGGCTTCCACTGATCCATGGGGCTTTTTTCTAATAAGTGATGATTAAATCTGCTGAATCCATTCGCCTAATCTCCTTGGCAGATCTTAAGAATATCATCATTACTTCGTAGTAATGACACCAAAGTACCAGGCTAAGGTATTCCAGAAGTTCTATATCCCAGGATGGAACTAGTATGAAACCTGGAGACAATGACACTAATCATATTCACCATTTGTTAAATAGTGAGACATTGTCCTGGGTAACACGTTATCTCATTGAATCCTTGAATTTACAACTCCATTAGATAACGTTATCTTTCCTTTATAAACAAGATATTAAGGTTTAGTGCAGCAGACTGTATTTCCCGAAGATGGCCACAACCCACATGACCTTGACACTTGTCCATCCAAAGACGGAATCTCTGTCCTCACCCCCTTGAAATCGAGCAGACTCCATGCATGCTTTAAGCAGAGGGACAGATGCAAGAGGCTTTGGGTCAGATCTGGATGTAGCCTTCACTGGCTGCTTCTTCCGGTCTCAGAGACAGGAAGAAGCCACATGTAGATGCTCCAGACAACAACCCTGGCTGAGCTCTCAGCAAGCATCCACTGCCAGTCATGTGAGTGTACCATCTTGAGCATCCCACCCCAACAAGCCTTCAGATAACTCCAGCCCCAGCCACATCTCACTGCAACTGCATGAGAGATCCCAAGTGCAAATCGCCCAGAGGAGCCTGGTCAAATCACAGAACTGTGAGATATGATAAAGTTCTGTTTTAAACCACTAAGTGTTGGGGTTGTTTGTTATGTAGCAATAGATAACCAGAATAATGAGATCAATTTACTTGCCCAGGAACAGTGCAGTATTAGAGCCAGAATAAAGAAGGGTCCAGAGGAAAACATCTATTAATGGTGGATGATGGAATGTGGGGGTTCAGTACCCAAAAGAAGCAACTTTAAAACAAAAATCCCTTTCTCTTCCCTCCTCCACCCCAAAGTAGCCTCAGGGTTTTCCAAGAAATGTCCTAGTATAGTGACACCCTCAATAAAATCAATTCCCTTCTGGCTTGAGTTCTTCCAACATAAAATAGGGAAAATAAGGTTTTCCCCACCACTCTGTGATAACTAATGAGAAAGGAATATGTACACGACGTTGACTTTGTTACTCAGAAAATCATTACCACTGTTATATAAAAGGATTCAGCTTTTACACATGAAACTGTAACTCTAATAATAAAAATATATTTAATGACTCACAGGACTACATTTGAGAGGCACAGTGGGGACAGGGAAGAATGCATACTATACCAATAAGTGAAGAAGCCAAGAAGAAATTAGGGAAAGAATTTTTTTTTTAATGAAAGGATCTTTGAGGAAGAAATGAAGTAATAAAATTGATCTGCAGACAAGTCTCAGTAAGAGAAAAAGTCTATAACTTAACAAGTGTCCCAATATATGCTACTTTCATTATATATTAGTGCTCATCTCTTGTATTTTTCTTCTGCGCCATATTGGAACTCAACACACTCATTCTTTTTCAGAGCTAAAAAGAACTTGACAATTTGTCCAAATCCTCATTTTAACAACTGAGAAACTGAGGCCCGGGGCAGTGAACCGACTAGCAAGTAGTCAAACTACTCATCAGTAAGAGAACCAAACTCTTAGTGCTACTGCTACCAGATTTTCAATTTTTATTTTACCAGAATTTTATCTCCTAATGTCTTCAATGTATTTCAGATGTATTCTAGCATTTCACCATGTGAAAATGAACGACCAGGAAACCACGCTCTCTGTTTCCAGTCTCTTCTTGGTAACAGCGTAAGAGTAGCAGTGAGCCTGCTGTCTGTGGCAGTCACAGTAGAGAGCAGAGGTGCGCAACTTCACAGAAGCAGGCTACCAAGTTACTAACCCTAGTTCTTCCACTCACTAACATCTTAGTCTGAATTACTTTGGTCAAGCATCATGGCTGCCTTCCTGCTGATTACCACCAGAGACTAGGGTACTGACAAACCCGGAGATTTAAATACAGGGTAATTTTGAGGCAGACGGCAGGATGAAAGGCATGAGGGGGTATCTGAGTGGAAGGCTTTAGGCATAGGAAGGAGGGACAGAGTGCGTAGAAAGCAGAGTAAGAGAAGGGCCCTTATGACAAAGGCGTCTACATATGATTCTGCTTGGGGCAGCTGGTTTAGTTCTACAGCCCACATCTGCTTTCAGGCTTCCCATAAAACTCCCCCCAAAAATGAAGACCTTCAAATCAGACAAGATGTGGCTCTATTCTGGAACTCTCTAAGCAAGCATTCTGCAATTCTTTGAAGCTCTCCACCATTCCAGAGGTTTTGCTACAACATAATCCACAAAAAAATACTAAATTTACCGCTGTACACTCTACAAAATCACACCAAACTGTCAGGGAAACAGGCCCCAATCCCTTTATTTCTTTTCCACCTCCTGCTATGAAACTACAGAGAAAGCCCCCTGGGTGCTTTCTGTTGCCTGGCAGCTGAAATGTGCAACTTTTGGAAGTGTTCATGTAGAATCGAGAGGCCTGGACTCACCACCGCAACAAGCTCCAGCCCCAGGTCAATCGTCCTGACTCTCTCCAAGTCACCAAGTTTCCAGTTCAGATCAAATCAAAACACCTCACTCAAAAATGTGACTACCCACCACTTTTAAATACTTCCAGCAGAGGTGAAAAAAAAGAAGCATAGAAAGAAAATAATTTCTTCTTCCTATATTTGTAGCAGTGTTTGATTGCAGGGAGCAGGGTGACTACTGACAGGAATCGTGTACAGTCACTGGCAAAACACTGCCTGTGAATGACTGGATATGATATTTATTCACGGGTCCCCTCATTATCTCTATCAGTCCTGAGGACAGATGACATGCTGACACAGAAAGTGGTCTCCAATCCCTTCCATTTCCTTTTGCAAAACAGGCATGACCAAGGCAAGATACTCCCACAGAAAACAGAAGATAAAAATAAAACAGCCCGGCAACTGTGTGGTAGAAAAAGGAGAATACAAAGAGCTGTATTGACAACTATTTTCATAGATGCATATGTTTACAGCAAATGGCCAAAATTAAAGGAGAATCAAAATAAATACACCCTGTGTTCAGACTGCTGTGGATTATTGATCCTGCAGTTGGATTATTGTTTATCTCACACTGAACCTACAGTGAACAGCAACTTGGAGTACCCCCTGCCCCTCAACAGCCACCACCTTTCCTTCCCATTGGGGAGAGGAGTACCCAGTAGGCAAGTGGATGGGATGGGATGGATGGGGAGGAAAAAGAATACGGCCTTTGAACCAACGTTTTCCCCTTGTCCCAGTGAACTCTTTGTCTGCTTGCTGAACACGTCTACGAAATCAAGGAAAAGAATCGAAACAAAAGAAGAGGCATCCCAGCCTAATTACAATAGGTGTCCAGCACATTGTGGTGCCAGCCGAGCGTGGTTTGAACCTTGCGTTCAAGCATCTGCTCTCTTGGCACCCCCAATAAAACGTGTCTCGCACACCCTCTCCCTTGCATTTCTCCAAGGTTTCCCCAAAACGGCGCACTCTTATGTCATTCCTTAGAAAAGAAGGACGTGAGGCACGAACACATTGAAACATATGTTGCCGGCGACTTGTTATTATCCTGACGATAATACACATATAGAAATAAATCCCTCCACCCCACACGCCCACTGAACAGTCTATTATGCAAAAGAAGCGCTTTCCAGCAGCAGGGGAAGAGCTTGCAGGAAGCGTTATTTACGTGCACATTACAGAACCATACACCACTGCATCTGCATCCTACACAAAGCCCGAGATGGTGCAAGAAGATACACGCTGAGCATGGCACAGACCAGCTGCGGCAACGCGGAGCCAAGCCCTCGTCCAATCACATCCTTGTTAGAAGGTGGACCTCAGGGTCTGCTCTGCCCGCTTAGCCTTCCCTATTATGACACCACGCTCTGCCCAACATCCATGCCCCACCGGCATCAAACCTAATTCGTGTGGTTGCTCATTTCTCAAACTGCCGAGCCCTTTCTTTCATCTGCATCCTTGCTACTGGTCCCTTAAAAAGCCACCCCCAAGGCCTGGGTGCCCCCTGTCTGACTTGGTTTTCCTTTTTACCTCTTCCCATTCCTAGAAAGGATTAATCGTTTCTCTCTCCAACGCGCAAGCTGGAAAAGCGGAAGGCAAATGCTTCTTGCTCCGGCAAGCGCCGGAGGGGCTGCGAAAAGTCAAGGCAGCGAGCAACGTGGAGGAAAGCGTCGCGAATTGATCGGCCACAATAGTTGAAATCCCAGAAGCGCTCCAACTTACCCAAAATATGACATTGAAGCCAAATATGAAATATTTGATGCAACAACTGACTTCAGGACCCTTGTAGTGCTTTCCGGACATCCTCTGGGTTCATGAAGACACTTGCCCCGGCAGCCCGAGTTTGGAGCCCGGGAGCACCGTCGCTCGGAGCAGCCCGGCGGGGAGCGGGGGGCTCGGGGGCGCCGCTCGGGGCCGCAGCGCGGC